TTTTTCTTTTTGCTTATGTGGTGCTGAGGAATTGAACCCAGGGCCTCATGCATGCAAGGCAAGCACTCTACCACTAAGCCACCTTCCCAGCCCAGCCAAGCACTCTTAACACTTGAGCCACAGTGCCACTTCCGGTATTCTGAGTGGTTTATTGGAGATAAGAGTCTCATGGGCTTTTCTGCCCAGGCTGGTTTTGAACCATGATCCTCAGATCTCAGCCTCCTGAGTAGCTAGGATTACAGGCATGAGCCACTGGTGCCTGGCAGCATCTTAAGTTTTAATGTGATATCATCCTACTATGATTTTAATTTGCATTTTCATTATTACTAATGTGGCTGAATCATTTCCTATTTTTCCTGGCTATGTTCTTTTGTGAAGTGCTTGTTCCTGCACATCATATCAATCTTGGTTCTTTAAATCTTCGGCATGTGGGACTTTTGTTGGTGATATTGTAAATATCCTCTCCCACTCTATAGTTTGTCTTTTTTTTTCTGGTTGGTTGTGGGGCTTGAACTCAGGGCCTCAGCGCCGTTAGTAAGCTTTTCGGCTCAAGGCTAGCACTCTACCATTTTAAGCCACAGCTCCATTTCTGGTTTTCTGGTGATTAACTAGAGATACAAGTCTGACAGACTTTCCTGCCCAGGCTGGCTCTGCACCATGATTCTTAGATCTCAGCCTCCTGAGTAGCTAGGATTACAGGCATGAGTCACCACTGCCCAGCCTTACTTCTGGATTCTTTATTCTGTTTCAATGTTTGTTGGATTAATAACTGAATTAATAATTCTAATTACTCTAGCTTTATAGTAAATCTTGATATCTTATAGAGCAAGTCTTCCCATCTTAATATTTATGCTATTTTTATAAAAATTCAGAATTAGTCTTTTGCATTTTCATAATTGACTTTAGAGGTAGGTGTGGTGGTGCACACCTGTAATCTGTTACTTGGGAAGTAGAGATTGGAGAGATTTCAGTTCAAAGTCAGCCTTGGCAAAAAATTAGTGAGACTATCTCAGCCAATAATTGGGAGTGGTTAAGTGCATCTGTGGGAGGATGGTGGTCCAAGGCTTGTCTTGAGCAAAAATAGGAGATCTTTTCTAAAAAGCAAAGAAAGCACAAAAGGGTGGGGGACATGGCCCAAGAGGTATAACATCTGCCTAGCAAGTGTGAAGCCCCGAATTCAAACCACTTAACACCCACCAACATACATTCATCCATGTATGCATGGGCTCTCTTTCACACAGACACACAGACACACAGACACACACACACACCTCAGTTTGAGAATAATGTATATCATACAATATTGAGTCTTCCAATAATCCATGGATGAGGTTTTTTCAATTTATTCACATCTATTTTAATTTCTCCAATAATTCTCTTCTATCTTATTTTCTTAATTATTTACTCTTTTTGTGCCAGTAATGGGGCTTGAATTCAGGGTCTGGGGACTGTCCCTTAGCTTTTTTTTGCTTAAATTTGGCACTCTACCACTTGATCCACAGCCCTACTTCTGACTTTCTGCTGGTTAATGGGTGATAAGAATCTCACAGACTTTCCAGCCTAGTTTGGCTGTGAACCTCAATCCTCAGATCTCAGCCTTCTGGAGTAGCTAGGATGCCTGGCTCAAATTTAATTTTTATACAATAAGCACTGGACATAGAGCTGTGGTTCAAGTGGTGGAATGCTAGCCTTGAGCACTAAAACTCAGAGACAATGTCTAGGTCCTGAGTTCAAACCCAGTACTAACACAAAAAAACAAATCAAGAAGAAAAAATAGCCACACAATAAATAACTGTTTTCTAGTAAGACCAAGAAACAGAGATGGGGACTGGGAGAGAGAGTCAATATAAATTAAAATCCAAACCAAAATGTCTCAGTATTTTTAGTTCAAATGAGGTAAAGTTTACCTTCTGTTTCCTCCTCAGAAATCAGTTCATCAGTAGAGCATATGGTAAGAATGTTAACTAACATCTCTGTCACTGTACAAAACAAAATAATTCAAAATTTACACAACTAATACAGCATTTTTCTCAAATAATGTAGGTATCTAAAATTAAGATAAATGTTAAACATGAATAACTATCATTGTATTATATTAGCTATAAAAATGTCATTAAGTATAGGCTAACAGGTTCTGAGAGAATTAGGATAGATTACTTGTTCCAATGAAACACTGGAGTCTTTGAGAGTTCTAATTGTAGAATTATGTAGACAGCTGTTCACAGTTTTTGACTCAGATACACATATGAAAAATATTTTTTTCCTATTTTGCAAAGAATTACATAAATAAGTCTAGGTCCAAAAGGTCTTACTCTGTATTTGCATAGCTCATTTAAATAGTGTAAAAATAAAATTCAAGGACAATAAACCCTTTTAGATTTAAATTTCTTCAGCACTGAGGAAATCACAGAGGAATGGTACAGTGATTATTACTTTAACATCTTGAACACAGTAGAACTGTTACTTTAAATTGATACTAAGAATAAATTAAGTGCCACTTAAAAGTCTCTGTAGAGGGCTGGAATGTGGCTTAGTGGTCCAGTGCTTGCCTAGCATGCATGAAGCCCTGGGTTCCATTCCTTACCACATAAACAGAAAAGGCCGGAAGTGGCACTGAGTCTCAATGGTAGAATGCTAGCCTTGAGCACAGAGAGGCTCAGGGACAGTGCCCAGGCAGGACTGAAGTTCAAGCTCCAGGACTGGCAAAAAACAAAACAAAACAAAACAAAAAAACTCTGTAGAAAGCAAAACACAGGCTAGGAATGTGGTTTAGTGGTAGTATGTTTGCCTAGCGTGCATGAAACCCTGGGTTCGATTCCTAAGAACCACATAACAGAAAAAAGCCAGAAGTGGTGCTGTGGCTGAAGTGGTAGAGTGCTAGCCTTGAGTAAAAGAAGCTTAGGGACAGTGCCCAGGCCCTAAATTCAAGCCCCAGGACTGGCAAAAAGAAAAAAGAAAAAGAAAGAAAAGAAAAGAAAGAAAGGATGGAAGGAAGGAAGCAAGGAAACAAGCAAGCAAGCAAGCAAACCAAAATTAGCACCCATTTCTGATAAACTTGAGAAAGACACTTGAGAAGTACCAGGTGCTTATGCAATGTAAGGGTACTGGGTCACTGGAGGGCTGGTATCTGGACAGATGCTATTGTTCTCTTACCTTTTTCTCCAACAAAAGGCAAAGACCAAGTGAAAACGTCCATAAAGTTTGGAAGCCAGTAGGGGTGTGGAGAAGAGTTAAACTGCCTGATATTCATGACATTGTTTTCGTATTTCAACACTGCAGCTAAAAAAGAAAAAGCAAGAATACTGGGCATAGAAGAATGTAACATGTCAACTGGTATGCCATGTCCAACTGTGAATCTACTATACAAATCTGAGGGACTTTCTTTCTTTTTGTAAATCCAAGACTAAGTGCAGTGCAGAGGGAAAGCATTAAAGCATTTTACATGGTTTATGTTTTTAAGAATCATCCCAAGAAACTAAGTTATCTGAAGAGCTCATGTAATAAAAGTATAGAAGAAATCAAGTTCTGAAACTTCAAAAGTGCACCTACAGAGAATTTCCGGTTGCACATGAAAACAAATTTACTTTCATACACCAAATGCTTACAAGCACAGCTCCTCTTGTCGGGCAATTATTACTCATCAAATGGATACAGTCTTTTTTGCCAGTTCACTAGCCACAGATAAACCTTTTTACATGCTCTGTTTAAGTTTATATATAGCAATTACCAATCCATAGTGGAGGACACAAAAAATGGAGCAATGTACAATTAATGTTAAGACTAAATCATCTCTGCATACAATATAGATTTTTAAAAAATGCCTGTTTCTCCCATTTACAGTTAGCTTATTGCCAGCATACTATAAATGTAAACTAACCAACCAGTTCAAACCATTGAATGCATGGTGATGAAATTGATTTTGTTTATATTGAAAGTATAAAAACCCAAGTTAGTCTCCATCATCAGCGAAGTTTTTTGCACTACTTCGAATGATTCTTACTGTAGATATAGGATATGGTACAACGGCTCTCTGGAAGGGACAGATGAAGGTTATCTCCTAATACCTTCCTCTTTGAGCCTAGTATTCTCAAAGTTTAAGCTACTGTTTAAAATATACACCACTGACCATAAGGAAAGTACAACCTCTAGTTCTTAAAAATGTAACCATGGGGGGCTGGGAAGGTGGCTCAGTGGAAGAGCGCTTGCCTTGCATGCATGAGGCCCTGGGTTCAATTCCTCAGCACCACATAAGCAGAAAACACCAGAAGTGGCGCTGTGGCTCAAGTGGCAGAGTGCTAGCCTTGAGCTGAAGAGCTGAGGGACAGCGCCCAGGCCCAGAGTTCAGGCCCATGAC